TTGAAAGTTAAAACCAAAATCTTAAAATGGACTCTAAATTCGACAGGAAGCCAATGTAACTGCATAAGCAACGGTGTTATATGTGAATATTTAGAAGCTTTCGTCAAAAGTCTTGCTGCAGCATTCTGAACGATCTGCAGACGCTCCAAGGAACCTTTGTTTAGACAAGTAAACAGGGAATTGCAATAGTCCAGTCGTGAAGAGATAAAAGCATGAATAACAATCTCCAGTTCGGTATAGGAAATTATGGAGCTCAATTTAGAGATATTTCTTAAATGATAAAAGCAGGACCGAACAAGAGATTTAACATGACTATCTAACGTAAGAGCAGGATCAAGGATAATCCCTAAGTTCCTGACAGATGGTTTTACAAACGTTGAAAGAGGACCAAGAGCATTTATTATACTGGGTATATGTCTATCTGGGGCACATAAGAGGACTTCGGTTTTACTTTCATTTAGTTGGAGGAAGTTTTCAGCCATCCAGCCTTTAATGGTTTCCAAGCACACATTTAAAAGCCGCAGCTTAGAAGCCTCTTCCGGTTTAAAAGATATATAGAGTTGGATATCGTATAAGGGTTTTAATATGTGGTACAGTAACTCTGGTAATCTGTTTCATTTTGAACTGTTACAGTGAGTGATGTTTAGTGGTGCAAAGGATCAAAAGTCTCATAGTTTGGATTGGATCACGTTTTTTTCGTCACTGATCGGATCAATTTTCAGATCAGCAGAAAAAAAATGAAGACAAAAATGTAATTCGCCATTTTCTTATTTAAGTATTTTTTGCCTATTAAAAAACATTCAACTCAAGACTCATTTCACGCAATTATATAAAAACAAATTAAGATGCAATATAGGGCAGTACAGGGCTTTGTATCTACCACTCCGCTGTGATATAATGAGTGGACGCGCGACGGGATGCCATAGCGTGGCTCAAGCACGTTCATCATAGTTTAAACTAGTGCTGTCAGCGTAAATCTTGTTAAAATGACATTAATGCCATAACTGCATTAACATGGCAGATCTGCGTTAACTAGTTACCGCGGATCGCCCCGTGCGTGGGGCTGCACGGCGTCAATGCATCAACTAACACGTTGACTAGTTTAAACCCCTTCTTTTGCAAAACAGAATACGGTCTCCCGTCTGCAACTAAACACCCCAATAGCTTTTGTAATAGCTGTAGCCGAGTCGGATTTGGCAACGAAGGGCTGCTTAAATACCGCAAACTCCTCTGCTCCTCCACTTAGACCGCTAGCGCTGGCCATAGCTATCGCTTGACAGACTGACCACGTGCACCATACACATATTTTATCCTTCTTTTTCGAATATTCGGATCACGTGCGTGCTGAACCGCAGAGTGAGATCGGTTTGGATTACGGATCAACCGTGATCCATTGCACCACTATTGATTTTACATTACTGGTTTGTTTCAGGTTGATCATGTTGGAAAGGCAGGAAAAGTCACTGGAACAACTACACACCTCCCTTTGCCAAAGATACAGTTAGGTCCATATATATCCGGAGAATGATAGAACTTTTGTTTATTTACCTGTTTATTGAAACATATTCCAATTCAGTAATATCCATGTCCATCATATTACTGAATATAATAAACATGGACATTATCTGTAGACTCTGAGCTTTCATTTGAGGGTATCCACATTAAAACTGGATGAAAGGTTTAAGAGTTTCAGCTCCTTAACATGTGCCACCTTATGTTATTGGACAATTGGACAATTTCATGAACAGGCAGTTCTTGTCCTTATCAATTAAGCAGATAAAAGACCTGGAGTTAATTTGTGCTGTGGTGCTTGAATTTGAAAGATTTTGCTGTGAACAGACAACATGGGGTCAAAAGGAGCTCTCCGTGCAGGTGAAACAAGAAAACATCTTTTTTTTCACTTCTACAATAGTAGAAGTGATAAAATCTACAGTTTGATACATCCTGAAAAAGAAAGAAAGCACTGGTACACTGTACCATCAGCAATGCAAAAAGACCAGGACGTCCACAGAAGACACCAGTGGTGTATGTTCGCAGAAACATTTCCATGGTGAAGAGAAACCCCATCACAGCTCCACTCACATTGCTCGGAAACAGGCCCACTGGCCGGGCCAGTTAGCCGAAAAGCCAACGGATGCCAACACAGGACCCAGAAGCCACGCTGTACCCACGCTTACGTAAGGTCTCCAGAGTAGCTCGGTTTCAACTGCTTCTTAACCTACTTAACCAAATGTTAATCCAAAGTCTTCTTCATGCAGAAGCAAATGAAAGCTCCAATTGAAAAAGCTACTGCGTACTTTTTAGCTCCACCCACTCGTCAGTGCCAGGTAGCAGGGACAAGCTCAGTTCTGTGCACCTGCCTCCTAACACCATTTAATGTGCAGCTTGGACATCAGTCACCAGTTCCATCCTCTGCTGCTCCTCCATTCCAGTTTATCTCTGCTAGCCACGGGATGCCAGTTTTGATGTTTTCTATCCCTCCTTCTCTATCCGTCATGCCAGTTTCTCTGCAAAGATTTAAAAAAAAAAAAAACAAGCTCATCTTCTACAAATGCAGCAGCATGCTTTTGGCACTGAGTTGCCAGTCTCTCTGCACCTATCGTTGGAAAAAGCAGATGTGAACCCTTCTGGCACTGTGATGTCCGGTTCTTTCTCTATCCCTCCTTTGCATATGCAGCAGCAAATTTCGTGCCACTGGTATGCATGTTTTTCCACATTGGTCCTTCATAGTGAACCCTTTCGGCACAGGGATGCCACATTCTTTCTCTATCCCTTATTTGAAAATGCAGCAACAAGCTTTTCTGCATCTATCATTACAAAAAGCAGCAGGGAACTCTTCTGCCTTTAGGATGTCATGTTTGCAATATGCAGACTTCCTGACACCGGAATGCCAGTTTCTCATTTGCAAAATGCAGAAGCAAGTTTTTCTACCACTGGGTTGCCAGTTTCTCCACATCTAGCCCACATATTCTAAGCAGCAGACATTCCTTTTGGCACTAGGATGTCATAAAGAATGTCAAAACGAATGTCAGGCTCTCTTTCTCTATTCCTCATTTGCAAATGCAAAACAAAACTTTTTTCACTGCGATACCAGGTTCTTTCTTCCCTGATCTTCCTTTGCAAAGTACAGCAGTTTACTCTTTTGGCACTGGATTGGCAGCTTCTGCCATCAACCATTTTCTCCAAAAATACAAAAACTTATTGTCACCGGGTTGCCACTTTATTTTTCTACTATCTCTCCTTTGCAATTTGTAGAAGCAAAATTTTCTGGCACCGGGATGCCAGTTTCTCTTCCTTCTATCCCTCTTTCACAAATGTAGCAGCAAGTTTTCCCTACTGAGATGCCAGTTTCCCTGCATCTAACCATCTTTCACAAGATATAACAGTGCACATTCCTGGCACCATGTTGCCAGTCTTCATATCCATATCAGTCATTTGCAAACATAGGAATAATGATTCCTCACACCAGTTTCTTCTTTTTGTCCCCTCCTCCACAAGATGGAGCAGCAAACCCTTCCGGCACCAGGATGACAGTTTTTCTGCCATCTTTCCTGCCTTTGCAAAGCACCAGCTTTTCCACCACCATCCAATGCTTGAAGATGATCCTGATATCACAAATGGTAAAAATGATTCCTTTGAGATGCTCTAATGTCTTCTGAGTGTTTTGCACAACTTCATTCAAAACACTGAAGTTATAGTGAAACAGAATCAGCGGAGAGGTCAGGTGACTAGTTAAATGGCGTGTTGAGACCAAATGTAAAGGCAAGTTTTCTTTCACGGCGCCATCCATCTTCATCCGCTTTATCCGAGGCCGGGTTGCGGGGGCAGCAGCCTAAGCAAAGAGGCCCAGACCTCTCTCTCCCCAGCCACATCCTCCAGCTTATCCGGGGGAATACCAAGGCGTTCCCAGGCCAGCCGAGAGATATAATCTCTCCAGCGTGTCCTGGGTCTGCCCCGGGGCCTCCTCCCGGTGGGACATGCCTGGAACACCTCACCCAGGAGGCGCCCAGGGGGCATCCTTGTCAGATGCCCCAACCACCTCAGCTGGCTCCTTTCGATGTGGAGCAGCAGCTGCTCTACTCTGAGCCCCTCCCGGATGGCCGACCTTCTCACCCTATCTCTAAGGGAGAGGCCAGCCACCCTTCCGAGGAAGCTAATTTCTGCCGCTTGTATCCGCGATCTCGTTCTTTCGGTCACTACCCACAGCTCGTGGCCATAGGTGAGGGTAGGGACGTAGATCGACCGGTAAATTGAGAGCTTCGCTTTTACACTCAGCTCCCTCTTCACCACGATGGACCGGTGCAGCGTCCACATTACTGCAGCTGCAGCCCCAATCCGTCTGTCGATCTCCGGCTCCCTTTCATGGCGCCATTTCGAATAAAGTCTATACAATACATATTCAAATGTCGTGATGTAAACACCTTCAGTGACTTGTGTGAATTCATTTTTGTTCCTTCATAAATGAGTACAGCTGATTGTTTGACTTTTCCTAGTCTCACATGTGTTTGATCTAATTATTTATTGAATTGTAGTTTACACATTGATTTCTTGTGATCATATGAAGTCTCTGAGGAGGTGAATTGAGCACTCATAGCTTAAAAGATTGGGCGACCTGATAATTTTTCCACCTGTGTTTTCATGAAGGATTTTTTTTCTGACCCTTGGGGCATTCTTTCAGTCATGAGGTCAGTGTGCCACAGTGGGCGTGTTTTCAGAACAGAGTTTGTGAAGAAGCAGAAGCAGAACTTTAGCTCAGTGGGGAGTGATTCAGGGGTCTGAGTACAATGTCATAACCCACGTTGCCTAAGCACTCTGTTGAATGGTAAGCGCTGGACATTTACCATGATGGATTATCATCAGTGAAATTCTTCCCCAACTGTTTCATGTCTGTTGCTTTGTTGGAGTTTCACTGTTTTGAAAACCTGTGGTTATATGATGTGATGATAAATAATATGGATCCTGCAAACAGTATTACCTTTGTTTTTTGAATGGAGAGGAGGATGACGGTAAACTCATCTCAGAGTTCATTCTTGGTGTTCAGTGCCTATTTTGACAGCGGGCATTTGAAATATTTATTTTTTGTGATCGTTATGTCTTTATATTTTTTAATCATTACTGCCAATGTCCTGCTGATTGTGGTTATCTGTGTGAACAGAAGCTTACATGAACCTATGTACATGTTTCTGTGCAGCCTGTTTGTGAATGAGCTGTATGGTAGTACAGGGCTGTTTCCGTCCCTCCTGCTTCAGATCCTCTCTGATGTTCACACTGTTTCTGCTCCTCTCTGCTTCCTGCAGATCTTCTGTGTGCACACATATGGAACTGCAGAGCTTGCTAACTTAGCCGTCATGTCTTATGACAGATATCTTGCAATATGTTTTCCTCTTCAATATCACACACGTATGAGTCCATGCAAGGTATCCATGCTCATTGTTCTAACGTGGTTTTCCTCATTTCTTGTAATCACTGTTTTGATTTCTCTGAGTGCTCCTCTGCAGCTGTGTGGGAACATCATTACAAAGTGTACTGTGACAACTACTCCATTGTTAAACTGGCCTGTTCTGACACCACAGTCAATAACATCTATGGACTCATTTCCACTCCTCTCGTTATCCTATGCCCTGTATCTCTGATTCTCTACACCTACATGAGGATCCTTAAAATCTGTTTTTCTGGATCCAAACAGACCCGACAGAAAGCCGTCAGCACCTGCACGCCTCACCTCGCTTCTCTGCTCAACTTCTCTTTCGGCTGCTTTTTTGAAATTCTGCAGAGCAGGTTTAACATGAACAGTGTACCCAGCATGCTGAGGATATTTTTATCATTATACTTTCTAACATGTCAACCTGTATTCAACCCTTTAATGTATGGACTGACCCTGTCCAAAATCTCTCTCACCTGCAAAAAACTACTCTGTGCTGACATGTAACACCCTGTTATTATATCCGTGCTAATAGTAAAACTAACTGCAGCAAATCTTGATGTATGAACAGATTTCATGAACTGAACACAGTAAAACCTTTGATGTCTTCATAGTTAAAAAATGAAACAAAACAAAAAGAGGCAAAATTCTGCAGGTGCGCTACAAATAAGGGTTTTAATATGTGGTACAGTAACTCTGGTAATCTGTTTCATTTTGAACTGTTACAGTGAGTGATGTTTAGTGGTGCAAAGGATCAAAAGTCTCATAGTTTGGATTGGATCACGTTTTTTTCGTCACTGATCGGATCAATTTTCAGATCAGCAGAAAAAAAAGAAGACAAAAATGTAATTCGCCATTTTCTTATTTAAGTATTTTTTGCCTATTAAAAAACATTCAACTCAAGACTCATTTCACGCAATTATATAAAAACAAATTAAGATGCAATATAGGGCAGTACAGGGCTTTGTATCTACCACTCCGCTGTGATATAATGAGTGGACGCGCGACGGGATGCCATAGCGTGGCTCAAGCACGTTCATCATAGTTTAAACTAGTGCTGTCAGCGTAAATCTTGTTAAAATGACATTAATGCCATAACTGCATTAACATGGCAGATCTGCGTTAACTAGTTACCGGCGGATCGCCCCGTGCGTGGGGCTGCACGGCGTCAATGCATCAACTAACACGTTGACTAGTTTAAACCCCTTCTTTTGCAAAACAGAATACGGTCTCCCGTCTGCAACTAAACACCCCAATAGCTTTTGTAATAGCTGTAGCCGAGTCGGATTTGGCAACGAAGGGCTGCTTAAATACCGCAAACTCCTCTGCTCCTCCACTTGGACGCTAGCGCTGGGCCATAGCTATCGCTTGACAGACTGACCACGTGCACCATACACATATTTTATCCTTCTTTTTCGAATATTCGGATCACGTGCGTGCCGAACCGCAGAGTGAGATCGGTTTGGATTACGGATCAACCGTGATCCATTGCACCACTATTGATTTTACATTACTGGTTTGTTTCAGGTTGATCATGTTGGAAAGGCAGGAAAAGTCACTGGAACAACTACACACCTCCCTTTGCAAAGATACAGTTAGGTCCATATATATCCGGAGAATGATAGAACTTTTGTTTATTTACCTGTTTATTGAAACATATTCCAATTCAGTAATATCCATGTCCATCATATTACTGAATATAATAAACATGGACATTATCTGTAGACTCTGAGCTTTCATTTGAGGGTATCCACATTAAAACTGGATGAAAGGTTTAAGAGTTTCAGCTCCTTAACATGTGCCACCTTATGTTATTGGACAATTGGACAATTTCATGAACAGGCAGTTCTTGTCCTTATCAATAAGCAGATAAAAGACCTGGAGTTAATTTGTGCTGTGGTGCTTGAATTTTAAAGATTTTGCTGTGAACAGACAACATGGGGTCAAAAGGAGCTCTCCGTGCAGGTGAAACAGAAAACATCTTTTTTTTCACTTCTACAATAGTAGAAGTGATAAATCTACAGTTTGATACATCCTGAAAAAGAAAGAAAGCACTGGTACACTGTACCATCAGCAATGCAAAAAGACCAGGACGTCCACAGAAGACACCAGTGGTGTATGTTCGCAGAAACATTTCCATGGTGAAGAGAACCCCATCACAGCTCCACTCACATTGCTCGGAAACAGGCCCACTGGCCGGGCCAGTTAGCCGAAAAGCCAACGGATGCCAACACAGGACCCAGAAGCCACGCTGTACCCACGCTTACGTAAGGTCTCCAGAGTAGCTCGGTTTCAACTGCTTCTTAACCTACTTAACCAAATGTTAATCCAAAGTCTTCTTCATGCAGAAGCAAATGAAAGCTCAATTGAAAAAGCTACTGCGTACTTTTAGCTCCACCCACTCGTCAGTGCCAGGTAGCAGGGACAAGCTCAGTTCTGTGCACCTGCCTCCTAACACCATTTAATGTGCAGCTTGGACATCAGTCACCAGTTCCATCCTCTGCTGCTCCTCCATTCCAGTTTATCTCTGCTAGCCACGGATGCCAGTTCGATGTTTTCTATCCCTCCTTCTCTATCCGTCATGCCAGTTTCTCTGCAAAGATTTAAAAAAAAAAAACAAGCTCATCTTCTACAAATGCAGCAGCATGCTTTGGCACTGAGTTGCCAGTCTCTCTGCACCTATCGTTGGAAAAAGCAGATGTGAACCCTTCTGGCACTGTGATGTCCGGTTCTTTCTCTATCCCTCCTTTGCATATGCAGCAGCAAATTTCGTGCCACTGGTATGCATGTTTTTCCACATTGGTCCTTCATAGTGAACCTTTCGGCACAGGGATGCCACATTCTTTCTCTATCCCTTATTTGAAAATGCAGCAACAAGCTTTTCTGCATCTATCATTACAAAAAGCAGCAGGGAACTCTTCTGCCTTTAGGATGTCATGTTTGCAATATGCAGACTTCCTGACACCGGAATGCCAGTTTCTCATTTGCAAAATGCAGAAGCAAGTTTTTCTACCACTGGGTTGCCAGTTTCTCCACATCTAGCCCACATATTCTAAGCAGCAGACATTCCTTTTGGCACTAGGATGTCATAAAGAATGTCAAAACGAATGTCAGGCTCTCTTTCTCTATTCCTCATTTGCAAATGCAAACAAAACTTTTTTCACTGCGATACCAGGTTCTTTCTTCCCTGATCTTCCTTTGCAAAGTACAGCAGTTTACTCTTTTGGCACTGGATTGGCAGCTTCTGCCATCAACCATTTTCTCCAAAAACAAAAACTTATTGTCACCGGGTTGCACTTTATTTTCTACTATCTCTCCTTTGCAATTTGTAGAAGCAAAATTTTCTGGCACCGGGATGCCAGTTTCTCTTCCTTCTATCCCTCTTTCACAAATGTAGCAGCAAGTTTTCCCTACTGAGATGCCAGTTTCCCTGCATCTAACCATCTTTCACAAGATATAACAGTGCACATTCCTGGCACCATGTGCCAGTCTTCATATCCATATCAGTCATTTGCAAACATAGAATAATGATTCCTCACACCAGTTTCTTCTTTTGTCCCTCCTCCACAAGATGGAGCAGCAAACCCTTCCGGCACCAGGATGACAGTTTTTCTGCCATCTTTCCTGCCTTTGCAAAGCACCAGCTTTTCCACCACCATCCAATGCTTGAAGATGATCCTGATATCACAAATGGTAAAAATGATTCCTTTGAGATGCTCTAATGTCTTCTGAGTGTTTTGCACAACTTCATTCAAAACACTGAAGTTATAGTGAAACAGAATCAGCGGAGAGGTCAGGTGACTAGTTAAATGGCGTGTTGAGACCAAATGTAAAGGCAAGTTTTCTTTCACGGCGCCATCCATCTTCATCCGCTTTATCCGGGGCCGGGTCGCGGGGACAGCAGCCTGAGCAAAGAGGCCCAGACCTCCCTCTCCCCAGCCACCTCCTCCAGCTTATCCGGGGGAACACCAAGGCGTTCCCAGGCCAGCCGAGAGATATAATCTCTCCAGCGTGTCCTGGGTCTGCCCCGGGGCCTCCTCCCGGTGGGACATGCCTGGAACACCTCACCCAGGAGGCGCCCAGGGGGCATCCTTGTCAGATGCCCCAACCACCTCAGCTGGCTCCTTTCGATGTGGAGCAGCTGTTCTACTCTGAGCCCCTCCCGGATGGCCGAACTTCTCACCCTATCTCTAAGGGAGAGGCCAGCCACCCTTCGAAGGAAGCTCATTTCCGCCGCTTGTATCCGCAATCTCGTTCTTTCGGTCACTACCCACAGCTCGTGGCCATAGGTGAGGGTAGGGACGTAGATCGACCGGTAAATTGAGAGCTTCGCTTTTACACTCAGCTCCCTCTTCACCACGATGGACCGGTGCAGCGTCTGCATTACTGCAGCTGCAGCCCCAATCCGTCTGTCGATCTCCGGCCCCCTTTCATGGCGCCATTTCGAATAAAGCCTATACAATAAATATTCAAATGTCGTGATGTAAACACCTTCAGTGACTTGTGTGAATTCATTTTTGTTCCTTCATAAATGAGTACAGCTGATTGTTTGACTTTTCCTAGTCTCACATGTGTTTGATCTAATTATTTATTGAATTGTAGTTTACACATTGATTTCTTGTGATCATATGAAGTCTCTGAGGAGGTGAATTGAGCACTCATAGCTTAAAAGATTGGGCGACCTGATAATTTTTCCACCTGTGTTTTCATGAAGGATTTTTTTTCTGACCCTTGGGGCATTCTTTCAGTCATGAGGTCAGTGTGCCACAGTGGGCGTGTTTTCAGAACAGAGTTTGTGAAGAAGCAGAAGCAGAACTTTAGCTCAGTGGGGAGTGATTCAGGGGTCTGAGTACAATGTCATAACCCACGTTGCCTAAGCACTCTGTTGAATGGTAAGCGCTGGACATTTACCATGATGGATTATCATCAGTGAAATTCTTCCCCAACTGTTTCATGTCTGTTGCTTTGTTGGAGTTTCACTGTTTTGAAAACCTGTGGTTATATGATGTGATGATAAATAATATGGATCCTGCAAACAGTATTACCTTTGTTTTTTGAATGGAGAGGAGGATGACGGTAAACTCATCTCAGAGTTCATTCTTCGTGTTCAGTGCCTATTTTGACAGCGGGCATTTGAAATATTTATTTTTTGTGATCGTTATGTCTTTATATTTTTTAATCATTACTGCCAATGTCCTGCTGATTGTGGTTATCTGTGTGAACAGAAGCTTACATGAACCTATGTACATGTTTCTGTGCAGCCTGTTTGTGAATGAGCTGTATGGTAGTACAGGGCTGTTTCCGTCCCTCCTGGTTCAGATCCTCTCTGATGTTCACACTGTTTCTGCTCCTCTCTGCTTCCTGCAGATCTTCTGTGTGCACACATATGGAACTGCAGAGCTTGCTAACTTAGCCGTCATGTCTTATGACAGATATCTTGCAATATGTTTTCCTCTTCAATATCACACACGAATGAGTCCATGCAAGGTATCCATGCTCATTGTTCTAACGTGGTTTTCCTCATTTCTTGTAATCACTGTTTTAATTTCTCTGAGTGCTCCTCTGCAGCTGTGTGGGAACATTATTGACAAAGTGTACTGTGACAACTACTCCATTGTTAAACTGGCCTGTTCTGACACCACAGCCAATAACATCTATGGACTCATTTCCACTCCTCTCGTTATCCTATGCCCTGTATCTCTGATTCTCTACACCTACATGAGGATCCTTAAAATCTGTTTTTCTGGATCCAAACAGACCCGACAGAAAGCCGTCAGCACCTGCACGCCTCACCTCGCTTCTCTGCTCAACTTTTCCTTCGGCTGCTTTTTTGAAATTCTGCAGAGCAGGTTTAACATGAACAGTGTACCCAGCATGCTGAGGATATTTTTATCATTATACTTTCTAACATGTCAACCTGTATTCAACCCTTTAATGTATGGACTGACCCTGTCCAAAATCTCTCTCACCTGCAAAAAACTACTCTGTGCTGACATGTAACACCCTGTTATTATATCCGTGCTAATAGTAAAACTAACTGCAGCAAATCTTGATGTATGAACAGATTTCATGAACTGAACACAGTAAAACCTTTGATGTCTTCATAGTTAAAAAATGAAACAAAACAAAAAGAGGCAAAATTCTGCAGGTGCGCTACAAATAAGGGTTTTAATATGTGGTACAGTAACTCTGGTAATCTGTTTCATTTTGAACTGTTACAGTGAGTGATGTTTAGTGGTGCAAAGGATCAAAAGTCTCATAGTTTGGATTGGATCACGTTTTTTTCGTCACTGATCGGATCAATTTTCAGATCAGCAGAAAAAAAATGAAGACAAAAATGTAATTCGCCATTTTCTTATTTAAGTATTTTTTGCCTATTAAAAAACATTCAACTCAAGACTCATTTCACGCAATTATATAAAAACAAATTAAGATGCAATATAGGGCAGTACAGTGCTGCTGAGGTCCTTGGGATGGGAGGTCTTTGGTACCGGTACCACACAGGAGGTCTTCCACAGCTGTGGTACTTTCCCCAGTGACAGGCTCAGGTTGAAGGGATAACCTAGGATGCCACACAGTTCATCTGCGCAGCACCTCAGGAGCCTGGAGCTGACGCCATCTGGACCTGCAGCCTTCCTCACCTTGATCTTGCGAAGCTCGTTCCTTGCTTGAAGTGCTGAGATAGTAAGAGTGGATTTTGGGGGAGTGGTGTGTATGTTGGAGTCCACAGAAGCCGGGGGTGGGTGTGATGGCTGGGAGCTGGGATGTGTGAAGTCCTGAGATGAAGGACAGGACGTCCCTGAAGATGAAGGAGATTGCAGCAGGGGGGACGATGCTGGGGGAGGGGTGGGTGTTTGATCAAACCTTTTAAAATATTTATTTAGGTCATTCACCCACCCCAAGTCTCCTGCAGCCTGGGGGGTTGGTTTTTGTCCTGAGATTGTCTTCAGGCTGTTCCAAACCCCTCTGTTGTCCTGTTGCAGCTGCTCTTCCATCTTCCTCCTGTAGTTTTCCTTTCCTTGCCTTATCTTCCATTTCAGCTTCTTCTGGACAACTCTCAACTCCTGTTTGTCTCCAGATCTAAAGACTCTTATTCTCCTTGAGGAGAGCCTTAATTTCAGGATTTATCCATGGCTTGTTGTTAGAAAAACACCGTACCTTTTTGATGGGTACGGTGTTGTCCACACAGAAGTTCATGTAATCCGTAATGCAGTCTGTGATGCTGCTGAGGTCATCCTCCAGGGGGCTGCAGAGGTTGTCCCACACAGTAGAGCGGAAACAGTCCCTCAGGGCCTCTTCAGTCTCTGCCAACCATTTCCTTACTGTGCGTTTCACAACTGGTTCTCTGTGTACTAGAGGTTTATACACAGGCTGGAGATGAACCAGATTGTGATCAGAGCCCCCCAGGGGAGGAAGAGGTGATGAGCTGTATGCCTCCTTGGTGTTGGCAATGTTTTATTGTCTCTGGTGTGGCAGGTAACATACTGGGTGAAGGTGGGGAGAGTGGAGGACAGGGAGATGTGATTAAAGTCCCCAGAGATCAGGAAAAGGGCCTGAGGGTGCTGTGTTTGGAGTCTGCTGGTTACAGTGTGCAGGACCTCACAGGCTGCTGCAGCGTTAGCAGAGGGCGGGACATACACAGCTATTAGCTATGAAAACTCTCGCGGTACGGTCTCATGCTAACCGCTAGCAGCTCAATGTCCTTACAGCATAGCGTCTCTTTGATAGATAAATGCCCAGAGTTACACCATCTATCGTTCACAAACACAGCCAGACCCCCTCCTCTCTTCTTACCACTCTCCGTTGTTCTGTCGGCCTGGATCAGATGAAAACCATCCATGTTTACGTGTGAGTCCGGAGTTAGCACAGTTAGCCACGACTCTGTGAAGCACATCAGGCTGCACTCCCTGTAGCTCCTCTGATGTCGGGTAAGGGCTGCCAGTTCATCTACTTTATTGGGGAGAGATCTCACATTCCCCATAATAACAGATGGAATCGCTGGCCGGTACCTCCTAACTTTACTGCGACGCCCGATCCCGGCCCGAGTACCGCGTCTTTTCCTCCTCACCTCACGGGGGATGTTAGCTTGCTCGGCGGTAGGCAGGGCAGCGGAGGCTCCGAGGGCTAACAGCTGCTGTAAACAATGGGAGGTCGGACCTCCACGCGCTCTCCGGACAAAGACGCTGTAAAAAATGTAATAACGAACACCATTGTCCATAGAATTCTGAGCTCCATTGTGGGGGACAGCAGTCCACAATAGAAAAACAAAAACAATAAACACAAACAACAAAGAAACATATATTAAAGAGAAAAAGAAGGATTTGTTCAGGTCGGAGCTGCTGATACTGGCTGCCAGCTCGGAGCAGCACCGGAAGTGTCTTTAAGGTCATTAACATAAGATGGGGCCTGATTATTTAAATCCTGTGAGGAGCAGGATTTTGAATTCAATTCTGGATTTAACAGGAAGCCAGCAGAGACAAACTGATACAGACCAGAAAGGATACAAAAAAGTATCACTAGTTGTCAAAACCCGGGGCACAGGAGTCCAAAACAAAACACAATGGCAGGCTCCATGCCACGATGGCGATGGAGACAAAGCATCCTCAGGCAGCTTGGCAGGTGGTCAGCGGCAGCATGGGCAAAGATCCTTGAATGACTTGGCAGGTGGTTGGCCGCGGCCTGGGTGAAGACAGTTTGGCAGGCGCAAATGGTGCAGGATGTGGCTTGGCAAGTGCAGGCAGTGCAGGATGTGGCATGGCAGGCACAAGACGTGCAGGACTCGGTGTGGCAGGCTTGGCAAGTACAGAACCAGATGACACTAAGACCTCTCGCTGAGACATGGCTGGGCCAGATGACATGAAAACCTCTGGCTCGCAAAAGGCTCTGATTGCTCTGGCTGGGGCTTTGCAGCGCTTGCAGGCACAGAAACTAGTTGGACAATAACCTCCCCAAAACCCAACAGTTACAGGTGCAGAAGGGGACTGGGTCTCAGCTACCCTCGCCCTGGGACCTGGCACAGGTGCAGGCACCCGGCACAGGTGCAGAAACCCACTGAACCCAAGCCACCCCCACCCGTGGAACTAGTCCGGGTGCTAAGGCGGACTGGGTCTTGGCTAACCTCACCCTGGAAGCTGGCACAGGAAAAAGAGATGGCTTAGTATTGGCCTCATGTTTGACCCATACAAACATCAGTCTTTGAAGAGGTTAGCTCAGCGAGAGAAAACACAGACTACAGAAAAATTTGCTGTAGGTAGCTAGACATAGTGCTTGGAGCAGCCGGCACAACACTTTTACAGGCAGGTTCAAAACACAGCACACAAAGAGCAGATTCAAAGTCTTTAGACTGACAAACATAAGGATCAGTCTCTGATTGACAGCCAGTCTAATCCTAAGGGAAATCCCAGAATGTGGCAGACAAGTCATGATTCTGAGTCCTGCTTGACAAACTCAGGAGCAGAGAGTTCAGTACTGTCACTTGCCGGTTTGTCTGGGAACTTAGCCTATATCTGTCATGGCACAGGCCGTCAGAAACAGGATGGACCCATGGGGCACGTTAAAAACACAGACACTGGAATTGATCGATGGTCAAAGAGACCGTAACAGAGGAGAGTGGTATCAGCGTGGGGTTTAAACGGTCTGCAAGATTATCCAATGACACTGATTCCCAGTAGCTTACTTGTCTGCCGGCACATGTAGTAAATTTGGAGAAGGTCTGGTTGAGTTTGAGGTATTCCAATCCGTGAAGAAGTCCAATTGCAAGTGCAGAGAGGCAAGCAGGTGAGAAGAATGGAGTCTATACCGGAGTGAGCGTGGAGAATACAGCAGTAAAAATCCAGTGACCGAGTGGAAGGAGAAATGTAGATGGTGAAGTGAGTAATCCATGGACACAACTAAGCACAAGAGAAACAAGGTAAGTACAAGCATGAGATTCAATGAAGTACATGAGTTGGCTGAACTAACGCTGGGTAGCTGATGATATGGCAAAGAGTTGTTGTGTGTGCTGGTCTTAAATACTGTAGCTCCTAATCAGCCCCAGATGCAGCTCCCAGGAAAAAAACTAGGTCGACTCTGCCCAGAGGAGCAGAAACATGACACCAATATTTGGTGAGGAATGCAGCACATTTGCCGACCAATGAGCACCTCTAGAGTGGGGAGAGCTCATTCAAAAGAAAGCAATCCTACATATTTATTTGATATGTGCATTGAAGGACATATCCTGGTCAAAAATGACTCCAAGATTCACAGTGTTACTGGAGACCAAGGTCATGCCATCCAGAGTAAGATTTCTTTAGATACCATATTTCTAAGATGTTTAGGGCTGCTTCTAAATTCAGTTTGATCTGAATTAAGAAACAGAAAGTTAGCGGCAATCCAGGTCTTTATGTCTTTAGGACATTCCTACAGTTTAACTAATTGGTGTGTGTCATCTGGCTTCATGGATAAATAAAGTTGATCCACTGGTGACTAATCTTGTTAAACTCTCACTCCCGTCTCTTACCCCACTGATTGCTAATATCGTACACTCCTCTCTTATATCGGGTTCTGTTCCTTCTTCTCTTAAAACTGCAATAATAACCCCAATACTGAAAAAGAATGGTTCAAATCCCTCCAATCTAAATAATTTCAGGCCAATTTCAAATTTGCCTTTCTTAGCCAAAATTCTGGAAAAGATAGTGGCTGCACAGGTTCATCGTCATCCCACTGGAAATTACTCGTACGAGCAGTTTCAGTCTGGCTTACGTTCATTTCATACTACAGAAAAAGCTCTAGTAAAAATCACTAACGATCTTCTGCTTGCAGCTCTGGACTCATCTCCATCCTCATTCTCCTTGACCTTACAGCAGCTTTTGACACTATCTTCCACTGCATCCTTTTTCACAGGTTGGCATCTATTGGCATCAATGGTACAGCACTCACCTGGTTTACCTCTTATCTCTCTGGCCGCTCACAGTTTGTTCAATTACTCCCTCACAGATCAGTATCTACTCCAGTTAATTCTGGTGTACCCCAAGGCTCTGTCCTGGGTCCTTTACTTTTTATCATCTATCTCCTACCCCTTGGAAATATTTTCAGGAAGCATAACATCCAGTTTCACTGCTACGCAGATGACACCCAGCTCTACCTATCCTCCAAACCCACAGCTACTCTCCCACCCACATCCATTTCTGACTGTTTAAGTGAAATCAAGGTCTGGTTTACTCACAACTTTCTTAAACTTAATGGCAATAAAACAGAGTTAATTTTAATAGGCACCAGATCAAAACTGACCACAGTCCCAACCAGAAATTTTTCGTTATCCATTGATAACTCTGATGTCACACCCTCCCCTCAGGTTAAGAGTCTTGGATTCATCCTCGACAGCACTCTGTCCTTCACAGCACATATAAATGATATCACTCAGTCTTCCTACTTTCATCTCCGTAATATTAATCGTCTTCATCCCTCACTCACTGCAAGCAGTACCGCCATACTCGTCAATGCTCTTGTCATCTCGTTTAGATTACTGTAATTCTCTTCTCTATGGTTTACCTCATAAATCCCTCCATAAATTGCAGTTAGTTCAAAATAAAGATGCTCGTATTATTTCCAGAATTAGATCCACTGAATATATAACAGCTGTTCTTAAACAGCTCCATTGGCTTCCGATTCACCTCCGTGTCAATTTCAACATCCCGCTTCTCACTTTCAAAGTGCTTCATAACCTCGCTCCTCCATATTTATCTGATCTTCTACATACATTCTCGTTTGGCTCTCGGTGAAGGCAGTCGCACTTTTCTCCTCTTCTCCTTCCCCTTATCTTCCCTGCTTAGCCTCTTGTGTCTTTGTCTTGTCTCATGTGTATTTCACTTCCCTGGACACTCTCTCACAGTCTGTTTCTAAAACCTAAAAGAGAATTATGGATTTGATCAACTGGTCTCTGAATGCTATTGACACCCTTTTCTCAACGAGAAGTCTGGGCTCGGGAGAGCCTGAGTGCCCTGGAGGGACTTTCCCTGCCGGGTACACGATGGACGGGTGGCAGAACTGGAGGGTCGTGTGCATGGCGGGACTGTCGATCGAGGACGCTGAAGATATCTATCTATTCGGAACCATGATAACAGGGTTCATGCTGATCGGAGCTGGCTTGGCCCTGGCTTATCGGAGAATTAAGAAAGCGGAACCGGCTGTTCAAATCCCCACAAGACTGCCCGCTGGGATTGAAACGATGGGACGAGGTGCGGCTTCTCAGAAAGGGCTCACTGAATGCAGCATGGTTAAGAACTTGGAGGCGCTTACGGCTGCAGTTAATACTCGGAACAACACCTCTGAGCGTATATTGGATTACATCAGGGAAGAATCCACTCGGAACAACACCTCTGGGTGGAAGCTGGATTACATCGCGGATCAGTTGGCTGCGGTTGTGAGGTCTCAGAATCTGCTCTCTGAGCAAAAGAGTGAAAAGACCACGGAATTGAAGATAAATAACATCATGGAGAAACTCGCAAGGCAAGGCAAGTTTATTTGTATAGCACATTTCAACAAGGTGAGTCAAAGTGCTTTACAGAGACATTAGAAACAAAAACAAATAAAAAGCATGATTTAAAATTGATTAAAACAAGCAAACAAACTAACTAATTAACAAACAAACAAACAAACAAAAAAGTATATAAAATCAAAACAGATAAAATCAGTAGTTAAAATGTAAGTTCTGAAATTTAAGCTTAAATTTCAAAACTTCAAAGCAGCTATCCAACGGGAGATTGAGAGACCAGTGTCGGTGTCGGAGTGTTAAAAACAGCTTGAAATTCTCCTGAGTTGTCACAAAAGAAAAATCACCATCATAATGCAGATACCCCTTCGGCGCCAGCTGCGGTCTCAAGGCCTGAGCTGAACAAAAACACCCTGATAACGACTGTGTTGATTCTGTTCCTTCCCATTCCATGCAAGGTCACCTGGGTTGGCTGGTAGACTGTTTACTTAGCCTGATAGGGCGGAGGACACTGTCTCAGCTGAACTCTGGACACACACACACATACATTTACACTGATAAGCACTCACACGTCCCCCCTCCCCTTCCAACGCCTTCGATGCTTGTTGCCTCCTGGGAACACGAGGCGGGTCTGGGCCTGCGCTGGAGAGTCGGCGCAGTGGCAGGATGGCTGCTGTGTTGCCTGGGATTACTCCTTATCCCCTACCCAACCCTGTTGCTGGTCACGTGCTCTATAATGTTGTGCTGTGGACATTTATGTGCTTTCTGTGCAGAAGACTTTTTTTGTTTCCTGTTCTCATGCTGTCCTCTATAGCCCAGCATGAGCAGAGGGCTCTTTTTTTCCTCTTGTACTTTCCCATTGTAGTGTACATTTCAGTGGTTTTCTGTAATGCAACCGTTCTCTGACTTATATCCTCATGTGATGTCTGTGTTGTGTGTGTAAGGTCGGGGGACGGGTTCATTCCACTGCAGGGAAACCTGCCACTGCATGTGGCGAATAAAATTTGAACTTGAACTTGAACTACATACTCACCTGCTCGTGCACTTCACTCTTCTTCAGCTTCTCTTCTGTCTGTTCCACCTGCTTGCCTGACTACCACGGGACTCAAAGCCTTTACACTCTCTCACCTCTTTTAAATCACATCTCAAAACCCATGTATTCAGAATTGTGCTTATTTTTTTTTTGGTTGCCATGTTTGTTATATTGTATTGCTGCTATTGTTCTTGTGCTATGGTAAGGTGACCTTCAGGGTCTTAAAGGCACCTATAAATAAAATGTATTATTATCATTATTAATATTATTATTATTTTTATTATGCTATTCCTTCTTATGATACTGCCTTAGGGAAAAATGCATAATGTAAACAGAATTGGTCCTAGCGTGAAATGCATGGCACTCCAACCCTCTGTTCCCCTCCTCAATTGGATATGTTTAGCCTGTCTACTCTAGCTTGTTAATAGCTTGCTCCCATAAAACAACTGTTCAGGGTAATTTTAACATTCATATAGATACTAAAAATGACACCCTCAACAAGGCATTTAATCTATTATTAGACTTAACTGGCTTCCATCAAAATGTAAAAGAATCCACCCAATCCACACCCTGCCGAATAAAATTTGAACTTGAACTTGAACTACATACTCACCTGCTCGTGCACTTCACTCTTCTTCAGCTTCTCTTCTGTCTGTTCCACCTGCTTGCCTGACTACCACGGGACTCAAAGCCTTTACACTCTCTCACCTCTTTTAAATCACATCTCAAAACCCATGTATTCAGAATTGTGCTTATTTTTTTTTTGGTTGCCATGTTTGTTATATTGTATTGCTGCTATTGTTCTTGTGCTATGGTAAGGTGACCTTCAGGGTCTTAAAGGCACCTATAAATAAAATGTATTATTATCATTATTAATATTATTATTATTTTTATTATGCTATTCCTTCTTATGATACTGCCTTAGGGAAAAATGCATAATGTAAACAGAATTGGTCCTAGCGTGAAATGCATGGCACTCCAACCCTCTGTTCCCCTCCTCAATTGGATATGTTTAGCCTGTCTACTCTAGCTTGTTAATAGCTTGCTCCCATAAAACAACTGTTCAGGGTAATTTTAACATTCATATAGATACTAAAAATGACACCCTCAACAAGGCATTTAATCTATTATTAGACTTAACTGGCTTCCATCAAAATGTAAAAGAATCCACCCAATCCACACCCTGCCACGTACCTGACCTAGGGCAGGGAGCCATCCTGCCAGAGGTTCTGTTGCTCAGCCAGCCGGCACCCTCTTCCCAGAGGAAACGGCGCTCCCACCATTGGCACCCTATGCCTCATACTGTGATTTAACTCTGACACAGTCCTTTTACTGGTTTTTCGAGATTACTATCACCTTGGCAACTGTTAAGATTCGTTCGATTTGGGTAAGAGAAGAAAGCAGGCAGGAAAGTGAACCCCTTGTTCACTTTAGTTTTTAAGGGGTGCCCGAAGTCCCCCGGGTACCACCCGAACTTTAACCTGGCCGTGCGTCCACGATCAGGGGTCGCCGTCACACGCTGAGCAACTGCGCCCTTAGGGGCCACGCCCCCGTCCTAAGAAAATTTACTCAAGTGTATTATAAGCGTCACTGCGGGGTCTTCGCCCCCAGTTATTTCGACGCCCGAAACCGCGTTTCTGCTGGTCAAACAAACCAAATACCCTGAACTACTGTTTGTCTGGCTGGCCTCAACCCACATCAAAATAAACACGCTTATTTACTTAAAACATA